TCATTCAATTTATAAACGTCCGCCTTATGGTATAGATAATTGGTTTTGGGTGGCAACACTTCAACTCTTGGATTACCACGAATTCTAAAATAAACTTTGCAATGATTGGAGGTAGAAAAAGGCTCAGAAACGTTCAAATCACATATTCTATCTGGACGATTAGTAAATATCAGATCGAGAGTGGATCTACAATCACTAGTCACTCTGGTAGGCTCCTTGATGAGTTGATTAAGACCAAGAGATAATGTCCAATAGCTTAACTGCCGATGTATATTAGTATTGGTATCTGACCAATTCATGTTAAAATCACCCAACAAGACTAATCCGTGGTAATGCTCAATGTTGAATAATACTTCCTCCAATTTGGTAGCGCACACTTCATTAGGTCGGTAATACACTCCACAAAGCCATTTCTGATTCATATGAGTGAACTGGGCAAATATACATTCTAAATTATCCATGGAAGGAAGGTAAACGGCAATAGGTGCAAGGCTAGGCTTAATTGCAAGAAGTATTCCACCTCCTTGACGAGCCTCTCGATCCTTTCTGAACAAAACTGTACCTATCCGCTAGTCGTAAACTGTTTACAAAAATTCATTCATTCCCCATGTGCGTTGATTTTCCGTCGATTCGATCGTGTGTTGTCTTGCAATAGCATTTTAAAGAGTAGAAACCATTTGTTTTTACAAGAAAAATTGTTGTGTCAAGTTAATGTATTTTAACATGACTATAATAAACACGTCCACGTTTGAAGATTTGATTTTCGTGCACCGTGGATTCATGGTACAGTGCATTCATAAATTTAACTTGCCAAAAAAGGCCGATTCTAATTTGGAATCTGAAAGTTGAACTCCATGTTAACATACATTTAACGAGAATCGATAAATTTACATGATGACCGATAATGCAAGTTTATTAAAGTATGACTGCGCATGCGTTGTTTAATTTAAGTAAATATATCGTTTACTGATTTGTTTATGACGACGTAAATATAGTTTCTGCATGAGAAATGCCTGAAATCATAAAATTTGACGGCTAATTTCTCATATATTGTTCTTTAAACAGTTGTGTGGTTAAACGCTTGTAACTTCATAAGGAAATGTCCGATTTGAATGATTTTTTACCATTTTATAGCTATCATTTTACTCTCTAACACTGTGTTAAAACTCAAAATCGATTATTGCAACGAGTAACTGGTTTGGCTAGTCTTTGCCACATATAAAGCTTTATTATGGTTTTTGAATTTTGTTCCTAGGTTAAGTTAAACCGGAGTAAGATCATTTTTAAGTTCAGATAAACAAAGAAAATCGCTTTACATATTATGTGTCTCAAAAACATGATTACTTTTAGGTTCCTCAACTTGGAACTTTTGCCTCTATGAAATATATTAAACTTATCAGAAAAATTGAAAACCATTTTTTGTCAAAATATCACTTCAGATATATTTTCTTGAATATATCAAATTGACCTGGCGTACCACAAGACTCATTTTGTCACAACAGCTCACATAGTTTTATACATTTTCTGTCCGTCTGGTAACCCTGTTCTTTGAGAATGTCCCTCTTTGTCGCCCTTGCATTTTCTGCTTTGTGATAGTTATATTCCACAATTTACATGGCTAGTGCATTTTAGCATATGATTCTAAAAATCCTGAATTGAAAATAACTTAACTTTCCTCAAATTTAATGTATATAACTATAAAGATGTTTAAATAATTAAATTAGAGTATTAAAATTATGTAGTGTACTTTCACAGGATTTTGATTTTAATTTTAACCCCAAAAAAGGGTTGGAAAAACATGTGGGCTTCTTTGCAAGAAAGCATAGAGTTCTTTTCAAGATAGTACCGTACATACACTGTACATGAATTTCAGAAATTAAAAACAAGCTTGTATTGCTTTGATTTAATGCTAGTTAATACACTCCATGATACAGATTGATGTGTTATTATAGTACAGATTTCCAAAATTTACAGCGTTCATTTTGAAAAGAAGGCCCTCTTTACCTTGCAAAAGTAGCCTCGAAAAGAAGCCCATCCAAAGTTCACAAGAAAGAAGCCGCCCAGGGCTTCAATTCCAGGTTAACCCTTATTAAGACAGTAAAAAATTTGCGCTTGTGCCCAAGACACATGATATAAATGGAGTTAAGCTGTAGTTTGGTTAATATGCTCGCTATCTAATGCACTTCCAAATTCTAATCACTAATCCATATTAAATAATGACTTACATCCTGTACAAGTGGCGAATCACTAGCTGTTGTCTGAGAATTAACAAAATATAAGAACCTTTACAACAGGGGTGGGCATAAAAGTGGGTCAGAGAACCAAACTGAATTTTTCCAAAACAGTTAGTTTTTTAATGTTATTCCAAATAAAATATTACTATATACAGCTCAGGGTTATCAGAAGTATGCTATTAATATAGGGAGTGGAGGTACAAAGTGCAAGATTGCTCCAGTACCCTACCTGCATTAACCAGTTTTTGATCCAGGTCTCAATGATAGACTACTGGTAGAATGTAAAGACAATCAACTGAGGTATCACTGAACATTATTAAGAACATAATAAATAGTACTAATACTAGACTACCTGTTGAACTTCCGAATTAGCATATTTAAGGTCTGCAATGTTGATGGCTGTTGGTACAAAAGAAATAATCTGACTGTGGCATCTATAATATATGGTAATCAGTATTGAGCACAGGGATGTGGGGTTTACCAAAGTGTGTGAAGTTTTCAGAAATCATTCACTCAGTCATATACTGATTTCATTGTAGAGCACAGAAATAGGGTAGGAATCAACAGAATTGTTGGAAAAATGCTGAGAATATTATATATGATTATTGAAAATATAACTCATTCAATTTTGTGAAAAAATTGTTTTACCGCGTGTTTGTAAGTTACAATAAACAATCTACAAGATTTGTTAAAACCTATGCAGTTCATTATAAACCTTTCTAAAAAAAATGGGGTGCATCAGGTATGGTAAACAGCATTCCTCATTGATTTCTTGAGGCAGAATTCCAACGTAGCAGGAGGTAGTCACACTGCCTCCTGCTATATTGAATTCAAATTAATCTTCGCTACCAGCACAAACTTTAGTGGTCTCATAAATTAATGGGTTCAGACCCAATCTAAAATTCTATATCTCTTTAGAAATTTATTTTCACAAGCATTGCTGTTTTAGGGACATACTGAGTATTACTGTAATTGCAATAGCATTGCATGTTGAGAAAAACGACATGCCAAACATAAAATTAGTTTTGCATGTTTCATCTACAGTAGTTCCCTGACATTCTGCGATTGGGTGCTACACTACTCCTCTATTTCTGGTATAGTACACTGTTGTACACATTATTACAATGATAAAACTATATCTAATAATTAAAAGGGGTTCATACCAAACATTAACATTAACTCACTGTACTATTTTGCGTTTACCGACATTATTTAGTTGGATGATTGTACAGATGAGAAAGAGAGACTTTGTTCTACACTAACGTGACAGATTTTGGGTACATTTTATTTAACGAGTCATGTAATTTGCGAGTCATGTAATTTGCGAATATAATGTTGGATATCAAAAGAAAAAGGTGCAGTAATTGTTCAAACAATTCATTTTATCTAAGACTTGTCTTTTTGAAAAAATTCATTGGAGTTAAGGTATCACTATCAGATTTTTGCTTATTGAATAAAATAGTGTTTGTTTAAAGTGTGTCTGATGAAGGACATAGAAAAGTTTTAGATTTCCAATATCCATGGACAGATCAGATTTGTTTGATTTTGTATGTCTGAAGATACAGTAGTGACTGTGCATTTTTTCACATATTGTTGGTCTTCAACCATCACTGTGTGCAACATTTCTTTATGACCAGATTACATGATGAGTTGACAGTCCTTTCAATTTATTAGCTTATCATTCATGACCAAGATCAAAAATTTAGATTGAATTGAAGCGTTTTTTTTTAGGTTTGTACAGTAATTACACGAGAGTCATTGGTAGAGCACCCTGGTTGAAGTGAGGAAAGCAATGTGTAAATTGTTGTTAATCAGTATTGCAAGCTAATTCTTAAACAGTGACTGGACAAGAGTATTTCACAAAAACCATTGAAGTGTGACTCAAATAAAATTGACTTTGACTTTGACTTTGACTATCTACAGTAGTAAATAGGTCAGTCATGTGATTCATGTAGCTGCGTCTCTGTTAAGTCGCATGTCCAAATCACATGTTCGGGATCATGTGGATTATGATTTAAGTATCAATTTGACATAAATTACTGTATAACTTAGTTGTTTGTCACAATACTTAATTTTTTCCCCCAATATTTTGAATGCTTTATAAAAATCGCCTAGAGTCCCTCTTTTAGGACACCCTCTAGTCATGAATTTTACTTTTATTTCGATTTAATTCATTTCAGCACTTTATTCTGTCCAGTATACATGCATACAAATACAGTACATACATATGGCAAATTGATAGGTTCCAGTGTTGAAATTATAAAAGTATAAAATATGTTATAACAAAGGTGACCCCGCTATCCAAATTGCTTTAATCACACCTAATGGTCATTGAGCGCTATAATTGCTGACGGGAAAAACTCTTTAATGTTCTATTTGTATAGTGTTTAAAGATTTGGTGAGATTGTTAAGTAATAAGTACAGTAATGACCAAAACTTTCCATTTCTGGGAATCTAGAGGTACCATAGTCTCTAAAATTTACACAACTCTCAAGCCACCCAAATCTGGTAGGCATTTGTGGGGTCACAGCATTTTTAGTGGTGACTTAGAAAGTGAATCCCAGTATGAAAAAAATGTTGAAAATCAGGGGCACTACATTTTATTATGTAGCTATACAATTTATATTACTAGAATTGTGTCACTTTTGAGTTAGATATCTTAAGAGTGGTTAAGTGTTGTTTTGCTGATACAGTAGGTAATAAATTATTATGGATAGTGTGTAATACTGAACCAATTGACTATTAGATCGCACTTTCTCATTGCAGAAATTTGGAACACTGCCAATCATGTCCCAGGTTGATGCTGCCAAAGTAAGTTTATATAATCTTGATTGATTGATTGGTTGACTTTATTTCAAAATCAAACCATATAAATACACTTGAAGTAAAGAAAACTAAATACATCATCATCGGAGGAGTGGAGCACATGTTAAAATATTGTATTCTCTAATTTAAAAACGGAAATGTAATCCAAACGAAATACTAATTTGTTGATTAAAACATTGGTAAACATTAAGGTACATTACCACTATTATAAATTATTTGAATTAGGCAAAATCGACTTAGGCAAGTATAACTGTATTGATTTTTATTATTGGTTGCCAGTTATAAATGGAGTGCGATATTTTTGCTTTGTCAGTGGCGGATCCACAAATTTGAAATACACAAGCCTAGAAATGCAATTTTACAGAGGGAGAGCCAGACAACCTCAGGCCCAACAGTTTGTTGGACTGGGGTACACCATTTTATGTATGTGGCACTTCTAATTGCTGAAATGGCACTTTCAAATTTTAATTGAGACGCTCTTTTCCCCCTTTTTTTATTTTAAAAAATTTAGGGAAACCGGCTATTAAGTGATGATAGTATATTAATATTAATATTTTATTCATATTTCTTTAGATGTTGCTAATTGTCGTTATTTTATTTAGTTTTGTAAATTGTGTTTTCCAGAAATAAAAGTACACTCAATTTACAAATCTGAATAAAATAATAATAATTTAACAGTCTAATATGTATATATTACAGTATTTATTTGTAAATACTGCAATAATAATTATAATCATATAAATAATAATAATAATAATAATTTTTATTTTTTATGTCTTATGTCTATTTATTGTACTGATTTATTATATTTTCTATATATTTTTATTACAATTTTCGCCTGTAAGTGGGAACAAAGAGTTCCTGTTGGACGATTGAAATAAAATAAATAAAATAATTACAATATGAGTACAGTATAGTAACAATTGTGAGGTCATAATTTATTATGGTTTAGCATTTTATTAGAAAACAATAATAGACCACTTACAAACTGACCAATAGAAAACGAGAACTTTTGACGAAGACAATCAAACAAATCCAGCAAACCTATATCTATGCAGTGAGAAACTGCTTTGAATAAACATATTCATTGTTAATACGGTAATGTTCTAATAAAGATCAAATTGTAGAATAAATTATGACTTCACAATTTTCTTTTTTTCTTAGTTACAATACTTATTCTATTTACGATTAGTCAGTGATCCTTTAACAAATAATTTCTCAAATCAAAGTTTGAATATGTGTTTGCAAGGAGTTTTGTATTCATGAAGAGTTGAAATGTGATATTTATAAATTGTGCATTTCATGTTTCTAGGTTGTGGCAACATGTCGTGAATCATTTCTTAAAGGTAATGTCAAAACATACGATCAACGTAAACATCATCTGGAATGCTTATTAAATTTCATCAAAGACCACGAAAAAGACATGGTCGATGCTTTAAAGCAAGATATTAGAAAGGTATTTATCAGTATTACTATTTTTGTATATTTAATTAAATGTTTTCATTCATTCATAAAAGCATTGTTAGTAATTATTTACTAATTCCATGATGTCCATATTCCTTAGACATAATATGCAGAAAGGTGTGGTGGTGTGTAACAATTTCTGTGCATATTTAATTGAATATATTTATTCTGTTAATATAAATTATTAGTCGTAGTAAATAAATACCTGTGGCTGCAATCAACCCTGCGGACATGCAACTGTGTGGACAGCCAACTGGCAAAGTTGGACCTGTAGTCATTGGCAACTACTAGGTCACAAACAATTTATTCAAATATTTACAGTGGAAAGTACAATATAGACTGTACAGTTAAATATGTCAAGAAAAGAGATGACTACAGGTACTGGTGTTTTGTACAGTGTATTGATTATACTGTGTACAAATCTGTACATGATATGTGGGACCAGATTATGTGTAAATGATGTTTGCAGAAGATGAAAATTTGCATGTTAGGTTTGTACGCAAGCCTGAATAAAGCACCGAATCTTTTGCTAGGGGCAACCCACAGAGATCTAAAAAGTGTGTAACTACCATCAACAAATGCCAAAGATTAATTTTGCAAGATGTCCATGTACCTGGAAAGCCTGGACTTTTTATGTTACACAGAAAATAGCACTATTGCACTTGTCACCTGCTAATTTTCCCCTTGATTCAAAAGCATTATCCAATCAATTGTATCTTTTTGCATTCAAAATACTGATGAAATAAGAGGAAGAAATACAGGGAAAAAATAGGAAATCTTGCTCTTTTGGCCTATGAATACAACACCTTTTCCTAGTACAGTAGTTCTATATATACTCATATTTGTTTGCATCAAGGGGTAGTAATATTTTCTAGTAAGGAGCGAACCCTAGAAGGATGCAGTGGTTTTTACCACATCTGCTCTTGTACAGTACTTTTGCACTCAGAATGCCCTTAGTGATTCTCTTCTATGATTACTTACACCTACTTCTATTTAAAATTCTATGTTGCGGTTGTTGGTAGCAAAACAGGCCTATTTCATTAAATATATTTCATTAAATTATTGTTATTTAACTTATCTAACCATGGAGGAATAAGTTTATACTTATTCATCCATGGTTTAACTATCAGTTATTTACAATATGTTAACTTACCATTATATAAATTATGCGTATTATATATAATTTTTAATATGTTTATATTACTAATGTTGGTTAATACGGTGAATGCAATTTCTTATTGTTTTAACATTTTTTTTATCTTGTGACAAAGACAACTATAATGGTGTAAACAGAATATTGATGTATTCTTTACTTAAAAGTTACAGAATTTTAATGTTTGCAGTACCCTAATGTTGTGTAGCACAATAAAAAGTAGAATTTGAAAATTACCAAAAAAAAAATAATAATAATAATTTATCACGAGTTGCTTCATCATTTGAATTAGATATTATCTTTGGCCTGTGAGCTCAACTAAAAAACATTTTGGCCCTCAGCCCCTGAAAACAAATTCATTAAGAATGGGGATTATAGAGGGTTAGTCTTCAGCTAGGCTGATACTAAGAATAATAAATATTTCACAAATATCAATAAGCAATATTAAGTTAAAATATGTATACATTGAAATATATTTTTACAGCCCTCAACTGAGTCAATTGGATTTGAAATCGCCTTTGCTCGTAATGAAACAATAAACGCTTTGAATAATTTACATGAATGGATGCAGAAAGAAAAGGTAGGCTCTAATTCATTGGTGTAACGAAAAGGCCTCAGGACCCTGACTAAGGTTCTTTTCGAGCCCTACTACCCTGGGGGTATAAGCCCCATAGAGCTTCAGTGGAGCTCCATGTGCTCTTGCATTATTCACAGTTTAATGGCTCATTTTTATGATGTTTCATTCTGCTAATTAAGGGTCAACAATTTGCTAATTGCCAATATGGGTCCCCTGATCATGGCAAAAAAGTGCTAGATTCATTCAGTGACAGCTCATAGGTGTTACGCCACTACTCGGATTTCTCGTTCCCTCCAAAACCATCTAAGTTTGTGATGATTGGTGACGGCACCATTTCTTAGGGGGCAGCAGAGGATAATTCTCACATTGGAAAAGCATGCAACCCTCTGCTGGCAGACATCACTTGAGGTTGTCTGGCTATAATAATTTGCTATAAATACAACCAGTTATTATGATGGTAGTTCCTAATGTTGTGGTCTAAATTTATGATTTTCCATTGCCTTTTCAATAAGCTTTAGATTTCAAGATTCCTAGATAAATAATAATATTTATAATATAAGCAAGACTGCTGTAACATGAAAATCAACAGCAAAGTGAAATAAATGTCTAACTCTGCTTTTACACTTTGTCCAGGTTGAAAAACCATTTCTTATGGTAGGTAAGGATGTGCACATACAATCTGAACCGTTAGGGGTTGTGCTCATAATTTCAGCTTGGAATTATCCAGTGCAGCTCATTCTACACCCATTGATCGGTGCTATTGCTGCAGGTATGAATTACTTCCTACTTACTATAAATGTAAATGAAATGCCTTGTACTGTAAAATATTTTAAGGTGTTTACAGAGTAAGGTTTAAAAAATTGTTTTTTCGGAGATCATGTCAAAGTAGTTGCTGTTTAGTCTAAAAATACCATTTATCAGATTTGCTATTTCAAAGTCACTTATTCTTGCTGATCAATGATACTGCTTCTACAAATCCACTGATGACTCTAGGGTATTCCAGATTATGACCCAATGAAGAGTCAAAATATTGAATCCCAGCATGCGTTTATTTCAAATGAGGCTCTGGAGGGGGTGTTTATTCGAGAGAAGTGTTTATTCGAGGGAAGTGTTTATTCGAGGGAAGTGTTTATTCAAAGCTGGGCATTTATTAAAATATACAGAAATAGTTTTTCCCCTTTGACACCCAGCAAAACCATCATTCTAAATTAAAATTGTTTTAAATTATTAATAAAACCTCTTAAAATATTTGTCTTTTTTAGGTAATACTGTTGTTATGAAGCCCTCTGAACTATCCCCAGCAACTGCTAATGTATTTGAAAAGTATCTTCACAATTATTTAGATAAAGTAAGTTTTTGATAATACATGACCAATTATCACATTATATAATAACAACAAGAGCACTCAGTAGAGAGCATATCTCCGCCCACTGCAAATCCTTTGCTATAAAATAAATCTCCCAAAATATGTTCCTAATTTACTTCAACCACCACTATCACCCCAAATCACTTCGTTCCGCTCTTCTTCAAAAACACACAGTAACTCGCCCAAATACTTTTATTTCAAAGAGGGGCACTATTTCCTATTTTAGTCTGGTTTTTTGGGGCTCTTTTTTAGAGTCGGCATTTTCACATTTTGCAATCCGAAATTATTTTACCAAAATTCACTCTCGGCTTACTTTTCACTACACATGTTACGTTTTGAACACATAACATAATCCAAGCAAATACTGACACTCAAAAAAGTGACAACCCACTATACTTTCCAACCACCACCTACTTAAAATAAAAACAACACTAGCTGGCCAACTGGAAGCACCTTTTATTGTATTAGTTGTATACCTGCCAACTCCTTACTTCTGGTTAAATACACTGGAATGATTTACTATTGTAATTGACAAAAAAAAAATACATGCCAAGTATTGGTGTTGAAATGCAAATATTATGGAAATAGTCAAAGTAATAAAAAAAAATATGGGATATTGAATTTTAGCAACATATGTTTGAATATAAATATGCATTTAAAATATTCCCATTCAGTTCCCAAAAAAAAACTTAAGTTAGTACATATAAAATACGCTGTACACATTTACTGTAATTGCACTAATTTACATATTCATCATATAGCTATTGTTATCTGCCTACGGTATATGGTAAACATATTCTTTAAATGGTCCTCATAATGACACCCTACATGAACAAAATTTAAACACTTCTTCAGTAAAACATGAAAAACTATTTTGGAAAGTTTCATTTTAATCCATTTATCCATTTTAGAGATATTTAGATCTGGGACCTAATGGCCCTCAAATGCACACCCAAATTTGGATCCTCACCAACACTTCATAATTTCTTCCTTGTAACTTGGTTAAACTTTCACGAAGTTTCATTCAGATCAGTTAATCAGTTTTTGAAATATCTTTTCTGGGATGTTTTCTTTTGAGTGGTCCTCCACACCCTACTCAACAAAATTGAAACATTTCTTCATCAAAACATGACAAACTGGGTAGTGTAATTTAGATCCATTGATTATTTTTGGAGATATTTAGATCTGGGATCTTAGGATTTTAAATGGATCTCAAATTCACACCCGAATTGGGAGCGTCACCAACACTTAATAATTTCTTCCTTGTAACTAGGTTAAACTTTTACGAAAGTTTATTCAGATAAGTTGATTGTTTTTTTAAATATCTGGTCTGGGACATTTTCCTTTAAATGGTTCTAATATCCGTTTATGTTTTTTAGATAATTTTTAAATTAAAAAAAAAACACACAAAAACACCCAGAACGTGACTGACACACACACACACACAAACTTCCACGATTGAAAACGTACAGTACATCTCCTGGCGGAGATGATAATAATAATAATAATTGGAGTCCGATAATATTGGTAATTTTTAAAATCTAAAAGTCTAATAATGTTAATGATAATAATGGTATGTAATTGACTTACTTACCAAGTATTTCAGCAAAGAATGGTTATTGACAACAATAATATATTAATATAGAGGGTATTCGACTGGTTCATTTCGTTGACTATTATTTTTATTCGACTGGTTCGTAAATAGACTTTGTTGACAACGAAAATGAATGTAAACCAGAGTGCGTTAATTGCGTTAATCAGGGTTAAGTTATTCATGTGACCAAAACAAACATGGCCGATTGGTGAGTTTAGAAACAACATTTGTGTTAATATAATTTAAATTAAATTTCAGAAAATAAATATAATATTTACCCACATTAAATCAAAAAATATTTGTAGGCCAACAGAATTAAAAAACTGGATGAAAATATTTTTTTAAATAAAAACCCATACTGCCACAAGCTAAAGCAACCTTGATTACACAGCGTGTATCGCAGTAACTATGCAGCCATTTTGTTTTGTCGAGTATTTACAAGTTTTCTATTCGACTGGTCGTGTTCATTAAGTAGGATTTTACCGCTGCGCAGACCAGTCGAATACGGCCATTGATGATCATGATAGTAATGGTATTGACAGTTATTTTGATTCTTGTGAGTATTATCATTTTATATTTTTTCCAACCAGGACTGTTTTACTGTAGTAAAAGGGGGTGTCCCAGAAACAACTGCCCTGTTGGCTCAACGCTTTGACCACATCATGTACACTGGTGGATCAAATGTTGCCAAGATTGTTATGAAGGCTGCTGCCGAGCATTTGACACCAGTCACCTTAGAACTAGGAGGCAAGAGGTAAATGTGAAGATCATTTTAATTAAAGTGTTTATTTTTAGATTCAAATGGAGCGTTGCTCTCTTTAAAAGAACATAGATGAATGATAAGCCATACTAGTCTATTACAATAAACAGTAAGAAAGCAAAAGTTCATCAACACTAGTTTTTGTATACATCTGTATGCTAAAGAGTGTACCCAGAAGTACTTGAAGAAGTGTATAGTGTATAAAACTGTAACTGTATGTAATAAACAAATAATAATAATCAAAATACTGTAATACATTTCTTTTATAGCGCAAAAATATCTGAAGACATCTCAATGCGCTAGAAAATTTAAAATGTATAATTTTAACTAAAATGCATTAAAAGTACAAAGCATTCGCAAACCAAACAACTGTTCCAATTTAAACACAATTTAAAATGTCATAAAAATGATAAAAATACGGTACAATTTTCGATTAGAAAAGCAATTTCACAAATAAAATTTTAATTTTAGTATTTACCTTTCAATTTTCACTTATTATTTACTTATTTTATTTTTATTTATTTTTTTATTTTATACAAATTTTTATCAGGAAAATACAAATCAATATAACAATAAAATGCATATTAAGCCTATTCACAATTATGTAAATTTCAACAATTCATTAAAACAACAATAAAATGCATCATTATCATTAAATCGATAGCAAGTGTACATATATTAAAGCTAAAACCAAATCAAAGCTAAAGCTGGGGCACTTACTGGATCAGACAACCATCGGCCAATGTCCGCTCCACCTGAACGTTAGACGATGCTGTCTGCTAGTCGTTGGCGACAGCGTGAATGGATCTTCATTAAAAACGATCAGTTGCGCTGTCGTTGTGGCGTTGCATTCTACGTAGAATCGCATGGCCTACAATCGTTGGACGTAGTGAGTGGCCAGCTTCATTAGGGAGTTAATTGGCCGAGCGGTTAAGTCGGGCACCGCAACCTTCAGCTATAATATCGACGCTGGTTCGAACAGCTCACTCGCCAATGGTTCCGGTGGTGGAACAAGTCTTCTCAGACAAGGACTTTAAACCATAGGGCTAGTGTACGCATTTGTCCTGTGTGCCCTTTAAAGAACCCAGTACATCCTTCGAGAAGAGTAGGGGGTTACCCCGGTATACGGGCCCAATCAGTCCCCTGTTGTTTAATGGATATACCACCTACAATAGTGATTAAGTTCACTAATTGGCATATCCTTGGCGCTCGTGCCTAAAAAAATGAAATGAAAAAATGAAATTATATGAATTGTACTCTATTGTTCATTATTTGGCTTTAGTGTTTTTACATTATTTGTCTTAAAATTTTGTTAGTTTATACATTTTTAATTTGTTGTTAAATTAATATGAATTCTATAAATGCTAATTGTGTGTTTTATCCATTAGCCCTGTGTATGTCGATAAGGACTGTGATTTCTATACTGTCGGTAGAAGGATAACCTGGGGGCGCTATGTAAATACTGGACAAACATGCATTGCACCTGATTACATTTTAGTGCACAGGGATGTTCAGGATAAACTTGTGTCGGCCATTAAGGATGCTGTGAAAGAATTTTACGGCGAGGTGAGGCTAAATTATCAGTGCATACAAACATGGAGTTATCATGTTTATCAAATCATAAATTAAAGGATAATGAAAATATAAAATTAGTAAATATGAATTTACACACTTTTTTCTATTTTTTATTAAGAATCCAAAAGAATCTAAAGACTATGGAAGAATTGTGAATGATCGGCATTTCAAGTAAGTATTTTTTCAATTTATGTAAATTGTAAGTAGCGTATCATGTTGGTAGTATGATTGTGGCGCATCAGAATATTGGGTACAAGTGGGCAAAGTGCGGCCCGGCAGTAATTTTTTTGTGGCCCGCAAAAACGAATTAAAAACTCTACGTGTGTAGCCCACCAACCATCTTTAGCTAGAAAACACCTTGTTTTTTATGGCCCGATCATCTATAAAAAGTAATATTAAAACTGAGAATAATGTGGTATAAAAGCACTTCATGAAGGTTTTTGGAAGTACACTGGAACCATCAAACTTTGGATGCGGCCCTCAGTGTGAAATAAAAATTCATTTGGCCCTCCAACCGATTTTTATGCCCACCCCTGCTATAGGGAAAACTTGCCCCCAAAAAAGTGGCTTTCCTTCTCATTTTGTTTGCATGACAGGATTTTGGATGCCATATACTATGAGCAGTGAACAATCTTTCTTAATAAAGACCTGATTTAATATTTTTTATTCTAAAATCATCAAATATTAGTATTGAAACTTATGGAGGATTTTCTAAAAAAAGAAAAGCAAACATGGACTAAATGTTGATTAATTCTAAATTTGTTTTTTGCCACGTCACAGGAGATTAGTAAAGCTTCTTGAGAGCGGGACGGTTGAAATGGGAGGTGAAACAGATGAGACAGAGAAGTACATTGCTCCTACTATGCTTGTTGATGTTAAACCCGATGATCCTGTCATGCAGGAAGAGGTATTCGGCCCAATTCTTCCAATAATGAAAGTTGGTGACGTTGATGAAGCGGTAAACTTTATCAATAGTCGGTAAGTTCTTGAGTTATTTCTTTGTAAAAAGAATTGCTTGGGGATTTTTGGCCTAATAGATCACCATAATATATTAACTGGACAGTACATTTTTCATGCATGTCAATCTATGTCAAGCCGAGTGGGCTTGCTCCACTAGAAACGCTACCCAGGAACAGAGGTGGTTTCACAGTGTGTCTGTAATAATAATTATAATAATTGTCAATTTATATAGTGCATAATGTGAAATACCTCTATGCGTTTTACAGCATGGAGTGGGAAAGATTATTAAAAGTTTCATCTAAAAAAAATAATGACTGTCTGTGTTTGCAAATTTAAAGACCAAATGACCAGAATTAATAATGTTGCACCTTGATTGTGATGGTCATTTATGTCAATCATTAACATGAATAATGGAGAATGTTTTAAGTTTATGTACATGTAATTTTGTTTGTGTTTTACAGTGAAAAACCATTATCGATGTATGCATTCTCAAATAACAAGAAGGTTGTTGAGAGTGTGCTTCATCGGACAACGAGTGGTGGCTTCACGGGCAATGACGTTCTTATGCATGCTGCTGGTAAGAATGCCCGGTCAATTTCTTATATGTAAGAAAGTATGTATCATATATTGACAAGGGTTTTTGTACAGCTAGGCTTTCAAGCCTACGTGCAAAACTGGCATCAGTGGCCAAAACAAGAAAATTGAATTCATATTCTTTACATTGTAACCTTTAAAATGATAGGTCATTTACTGGAATTGACATACTATTACCAAAGTTATGGGTAAAAGTATTACAGCTTTTCTGTATACATTACTGCCACATTTTGAAATGCTAATTTCATAGTTTGACAATTAGAGACATTATGCTGGTTTTGAGATGCTAACCCCTTATATGGTCAATCCTACACTCACGGATGGAGAGAGACAATCCTTAAACAAATGGCTAACCTCAGACAAAACCCGTAATCTTTAAAATGCTGCTGCACCACATGTTGGATTCCTATAGAATATTAGAGGAACCTTTTAATGTTATATGATATAAATTCAACAACAAATAATAATAACTAATTTAAACCTACAGTTGACTCTCTTCCATTTGGCGGTATTGGTAACAGTGGCATGGGTGCGTATCATGGAAAACATTCTTTTGATGCATTTTCACATAAGCGGGCAGTTGTCATCGGTGACCAAAAGTTGGAATCATTGAATGCGTGAGTAGATTTCTAAGAATGCATTTTGTAACATAATTGAAATAATTAAAATGTAATGAAATATTGTATGATTATTTATATTTGCTCTTGCTATAATATGCACGCATAATTTTTAAAGATATTTTGTCTTTTATAGCTAAGTAAATAATTTAAATACTCCTATATTTTGAATAAGGCAAAACTTTTTTATACCTTGTTTTCAAACTTATTTTTTTATAGATTGTTAGAGGAGGGCAGAAAAAAATAAAAATAAAGTTTTGTTTTCTTAAGTAGCAAATGATTTGTCAAAAACAGACAGAGGAGAAAATAAAAACAAAATTTCATTGGTGAATGTAAACGGTGTAGTAATGGGACAGAAATATGCATTAAATTTTTATAATTATAAAAGAAAATATACATATCTTATTTTTAGAGATTTCAAGGTAATGGCGAGCATAATAAAAATAAAGAAACACATTTTTGTTTCCTTTTGAAATTTCCATTTTTTTCGTAGCCGAAAATAAAATGTTATTTTTATTCAAAATAATCAATATTGGCGAGTTTGCGAAACAAGGTATAAAAAAAATCCCACCTTACATTGAATGGTTGTCAATTTTTTTTCGTAGGATTTTAGAATTTATTCAGTAAAAAAATGTGAATCAACCAGAAGCTGAATTGTTTCATCTTTTCTTGAGAACCTGTTGGATCCTTCAATAGTAATAAATTATTTGTTAAAAATATTTTGTTGCTAGTCCCAGCCTAAAATATGCAATATAATGCCTATTCAACCCTGCTTTGGTTGTGGTTAACAAGCCTAGACCTAGAATAAGAACTAGAATGGTCTGGGCTAGATGAGATAATAAAGTAATTATTTTCAGGTTATTTCAGCACTGTTTTACAATATAACCCTAAAGGCAAACTTAGACAGCATCGTACAAGGCAGCCCGACTCAATTTGTTGTCACGTCTGATCTGTGTGAGTTAAACACAGACATATGTTTAATATTTCTCACTGCGTCTTTAGACTATCCCCGACGATGAATTTTATTGGGCTGCATCGTACAACGCTGTCTGGGTCATTATTTCCTTCAAAATTTGCCTTCAGCTTTCCTATTTTTTCAGCTGCGTCCTCAAAACTTGAAAATAATTGCTTAATAATGAAGTACTTTTGGTGTTTCATTGAAATTTTGTGGTTCTCCAGACTTATTACCTCTTAAAAACTATGAAAGAAAGAAATATTTGTATTGTTTTTTTTCTTTTCATTTAATGATTACACTGTACACATGCAAACATCACAGTTCTTAGAATAATGTGACTGTCTCTTTGCACAAAAGTTTAACTACTCTGTCTGTCTCTTTGCTTATGCTTTACTCTAGTACATGTTCTCTACTCTGTTAGCAAACATATGTAAAAGTGCCGCCAGGCATAGTGCATGCTATGCTATAGTACTAATAGTACTATTCTTATAGCAAACACATGTAAACGTGCCATCGTGCACAGTGCATGCTATGCTATATAGTACTAATAGTATGCATAGACTAATAATTGATGGCTTTACTCGCAATGTGTATCGAATTGTTGATGCCATAGTAAAGATTAAATGACTGTACGCACACGCTTTGTACATGTGCCGAGATGAGCGCCCCTTTAGTTGAATGTTGAATTTATACTTATTTTAAACTTCCACCTTTTTGCCATTAGAAGACAATTATAAAATGTATTAACATTCAAAATTGTCAACCATATTTTACAACAATACTAAAGTGGCAATAATACATACCACCATGATTTGTCAGTGACACCGACCCTGCCAATAATGGGGCTGTGGCGGCTATTTTAAAAGCGATAACGCTTTGAATGCTTCGTGGTGTTCAGCCTAGTTACCTGCGATCATACTTTCCTTCTATCAAAGTAAGCAGTAATTAGGACCGCTAAACTATTATAGTTGTGTTGTATTTGTATAGTGTATTGCACTAAATTTAGCTTTGTCTGTTTCTTTCTTAGTGTTCGTTATCCACCATATACTGAATATAAAGACGGCTGGCTTTTCTGGTTGATGCAAAAGTCTCCTCGGAAAAACAGATGGTACTGTATGAAGTCCCAATCCTACAATCACGCAGTGTCTCTCATCATATTGTACATTTAATGATAACCTTGATAGTATTTATAAGCAGCACATTTGTCATTCATACAGATTATTTCATAATAATTACGATTATGACAATGACAGTGGCAGTGACGACAGTGGCAGCAACTACCACAATTGTAACAACGGCAATAAAATTTAAAATAGAAAAAACAGCTCAGGACATTCTGAACAATATTATAGTTTCAAAACATGTACCTAAATAGATAAACAATCTTCTTGTCAGTGAGGTCTGCATCTTTATCTGTGAATATCACAGTATACCCCCAGCCATGGGATAACTTATGCTATCCGTGGTGTGAAGCCTCTTTCGCTCCTTTAGGAATATTCCTAGTTAGCTCAGAACTACACCACTTACATCATATCAGGTACCCATTTATATTCTTGGGTTCATGTAGATAGCAAGGCTTGTTCAAGGATACAGGTAATGTGTGCATTTTCAGGCTTCAACATAGAAGGCAATACTTCACCACTTGCTTTCATATGTACAGTTGTTATTAGAAAATTTTCAGTCTATCTTCATCCACATGCTTCAAACTATATAAAAAAAAAACTGCTACTTTGTCTTCATTATGTGTGTTCCATTCATCTACCTCCTCATATAACTGCTTCTAATGTACTGAAAAATGCTTTAGCCTCTGGGTGATTGGTTTGTACTTGCCTACTGTATTTCAATGTGTCCTTTAACATGCACATGAGCCCAAAGGCTGACAGGAGAACCAATGGCTTAAACACCTCTTCTGAAAGCAATGCGCTATGTATGAATATTCAATGGTGGATTGGCCTATGTTTCAATTGATCATGAAACAGATGCACCCCTGTGGTATGATGCCATTAAGAAATAGTAATAACTGTAATAATTAATAATAATTTTAAACATCATCTTTTTTTTTTTTTTTTTTGGTTAGCTTGCATTTATCTAACATATTTCTCTCACCTATTTCTCTCAACAGCAAGAGGAAGGCTTATTCAATTCTTTATCTGAAGTTTTGACCACACTATTAAAGTTGTATGTGACAAATTTTGTGTGATTTGCCCCATATATGGGTCTGATGATGTCATATCATACCCATATATGTGGACAAATCATATATATTTATCACATAAACCTCAATAGTGCTGACAGCATTAGTTGCATCTGCTATTCCATGCCAAGTTTGTCTGTCCACCTTCATCCTTATTTAGAGCTAACTAACATAATTTGATATGCCCATATTTAACAGCAGCATTGAGACAGTTACATTATCATTTTTACTAAACACAATTAAGTTGTCATTAATTTAATTTTTCTCCTGTTTCTTAGATTATGGAAAGCTTATTTTCTACAAGTTATACCCATTGTAGAAAGTATAACCAACCTGATTGCATTATTGATGTGTCATTTAAAATGTTCGGATACATTTTAAACTTTCTTTCACAGAAGATTCTTGGGTATAATCTAAGGCTCTCTCCACACTATCAAATTTTCTATGACAAATTTATGTGATGTGCCCATCTATAGGCATGTTATACCCAAAATATGGACACATCACATTTATTTATCACACAAAATTTGATAGTGTGTTTAGAGCTTATTATTATTATTATTATTTTCCTATTTGTATGGAAAATATTAGGTTTCCAGGCCCTAAATTTGTTTACTCGCTGTTTAGTGCGCGCCATACTTAATTTAGTTTTTTTTTTATCTCTAATTTTACTTGCTCATTGGTGGTGCTGTCCAGAATGGCAAGTCGAGCAAAATATAAGCTTATTCGGTAGTATTGATATTTCTTTTCTTCTTGTCTTTCTATTTTTTTCTTTTTTTCATTGCTTCATTATCATTGACCATCTATGCAATTCATCTTTCCTTTGCAGAATCCGTTATCCGCCATATAGTGAGAAGAAAGACAGCTGGTTATTTTGGTTACTGTCAAAATCCCGAAAAAGTGGGAAGGCCTCGGTGATCATATATGGAGCCCTCTTATGTGCCATTGTTGGGTTTATGTTAAAGGTACATAACATAATTTGAAAGATGGTTCATATCCACTCAGTAATGAACCTTCCTGCTAAGCACCCAACTATTGAGCTCTGTTCACACTATCAAATTTTGTGTGACAAATAAATATGTTATGCCCATATTTGGGTGTAATATGACATCATCGTGCCTGTATATGGGTACATCACACAAATTTGTCACATAATAAATAATTAGTAGAGCTCTGCATAGCACACTATAGGAAAATTATTATACGAAGGTTAGATTTAATGCTTGAAAACATTTCCAGTTGGCCTGCAAGGCCCGAAGGAAATTTATGAATGCATTAAATATATATACCTAAGTATAGTAATTTTCTGTTAGTGTACGATGCATGCTCTACTATTTGCTTTATAAGTCAATCGCCTCGGCGGCCTCTGCCTTGCTGTAGGTCTCTACATCTAAATTTCTTTCTTGAGTCTTTAGAATAGGTCTAGAATATTCCTATTAAACGTTCAGTTTGTTTTGTTTATGAGGGTCCATTGATTCAATGAATTCCTTAATTGTTCGTACTTGAATATTGAAGTAACTTTCTTCGGGTTCTAATTAAGCTTGTTTTACGAAAGTAATTTTCAATTACAATTCAATTTTCATCGCGGTGCGTGATGTCTTCACGGTGACGAAAGAATGAGCAATTTTTGTTGCACACCGAACCTAAACAAATCAAGCCAGGCGTCCACTAATTGAAAAATTATTGGACTGTGGGGGATAGGCAAATAACATTGGGAGTTGCAGTGATGCCATCACGATTGACTTATAATATTTGATAATGTACACAGAGCCTTAGATACTGACAATAATAATGTCCTGCAGAACAATAGCACAAACTTATTTAAACTTGTGCATTTGTGGGATGGTCACATGTCCAAGGCCTTGTTCTCATTGGTCAGTTGTTGAGTTAGATTGACACTCAGGAATGGTATGTATGTATAGTGGGCCTTTGTGAATGAAGGTTTTTTTATTTTTTGTGGAAAAAGTGTGGTGGTGTATTGCAGAATATTTTAATTCAAGGTCTTTATAAAACATTTTATACTAATCATTTTAAAGCTAATATAATAGATCTATCATTTCAAGTAGCAGCTTTCAATATTCAATATTATTTCATACAGTATTGTTGAAAGTAGTAATATAACTGGGAAAAGAGGAAAGGAAGAAAAGAAAACGAGTGGGTGAAACAGCCTGATTAAAAGTAGAAATGAAAACTGGCAATAATCACTACATGTGCTCGAAACTATGGAGATACCTACAATATCTGTATTAAGTATACAGTAAAGGGTTTAGCGCACCATCATTTGCAAGAGGCGTTTAAGCTGTTGGTCAGGGGGGGATCCAGAATTTGTTCATGCCTAGAAATTTTGAAATTTAGGGGTTTTTTTTAGAAGGGTGATGTATCATTTTACTAGTCCACAAATACACTGTGTTAACCTCATCGTATGGTTTAGTTTAATGTCGTTTACCTGCGCTATGATCATTCGCTTTCTGCGAGGACAAATTCAATACACCACACACATTACTTCTCTCAAGACCTGCCCTACATCATAATCGTCATAATACTGAATTCTATACATAATATATTATTGAAAAGCTTATGAACATATTTTGATTTAGTTTTTGTTTTTCTTTTTCTTCTATAGTTCTATAATGTAGTGAAGATTTGAGAGGCAGACAGCTGTAGCACCTCCATGACAGATCAACTCTTTGAATTATACCTTTTATTCATACAAAAATACTTTTAAAATATAAGAAAATTCAAAAAATATATACCCATATGCAGCTCATTGTAACAATGAACACTAATAACAATGATAGGGTAAAGGCAACAACTGTTAATACTTCTGTTATTAAGGCGAGTGTCATACCATACCACAGAAACCAATACCGTATAGCTGCTGATCTAACTCCCAGGTACCGTCACACAACTGACATTTATGTTCGTACACAACTGGAGCTATATGTAAGTTATAAACTAACTTGAACTTCGAAGCTGAGAAATCGTATTAAATGATTAAGTACACAAACGTTTTGTGGGATCACACTTAGCAGATATGTGTACAGGTGCAAGTTAACATGATTATACTGTATGTAAGTAGTAATCTAAAATATGTCTCTGGACAAGTGAGTTATCAAAAAAAATTATATATCATTATACATATATATATATATATAAAATCAAATTACTGATTAGCACTGGCAACACAAATAATGTATAAATCAAATAAGATAATAGTACAGTGCTCAAATATATAGTTGCATGATGTTGTAGATAGTATCAAACGTTCATCAACGAAAGTTCTTAATTATATTTGTATGAAAAAAAGAGGTCTCTGGTGGGAATCAAACCCGCAATCTCTCGCTATCTCGGCGACCTTCATCTTGTTATAGACCACAGCTGAAAATATAGAATGACATATAAAATTGGGATGATGTAATTAGGTTCTGCTGTAAGAAGAATGAACCATTGAGACAGTAGAACTGTTCTATTTTTTCTATGAATAAATTAACATTCTAAATAAAAAATTGAATTGGTTGGTTGGAAGTTCCATGAAATTATCAACGTTCACTTGACATTGATTTTTAAGAAATCCATGTATACCCTTTTACAGAATATTAACAGGAAGTTTTGTGTACACTGAAGGTACTAACTATGTATGTAATTTCTGTAAAAAGAAACAATACATGTTACAGACCCTGGTACATTTATTTCCAAGAATTAATTCGAACTTTCATGTAATAATCACAATCTTGTGTATAGAATACGACTGTACTACTTGCTTAATATACCTGTGTGTTATTGCATGTGATTCTGGGTCTGAGATTTACTGTGGATACAATATTTGAAATTTTGTTGTGCTTATATTCGAAATGTGTTCTCTGTATCACTGTGGATGAAAGATAATCGTTAGTACAAAGACAAAGATTATTATCATGGTCTTTGTCGTCCTTATCTGTGAGAAGGGATAAACTTCTTTTTATTTTTTTGTTTTAAAGTGTTGGTAGGCATCTTAGACTACAGCATAGTTTCTAAATTGTATTAACATCAATCCCCTAGACACACAGATCGCCTGTGCTTTTTATACATCAGAAATCCAGGACTCAAGCTTTCTTCCACTTGGCTCCCATTAGGCTGCCGTGAGTGTGGGAATAGCTTCCTAGAACTTCAGTCGATGCTGCAGTCCTGGAGAGCCCATCTTTCTTTCTTCAAAAGGTTCATTTTCATTTTGATTCTTTGCTTTTGTGATTTTTATTTTAAATACTGTAATTTCTTTTTCTTGTATTGTGATTGGGGTTGGGCCAAAAAGCAGTGCTACAGTGATTCAGTTCAATTTGGTTGGCTCCCCATTTATTTTTGTATTGTTGACCAAATAAATAATGAAATGATGAAATTTATTCATATTATGTATCATTGATTGGTTTGTAACAATAAAGATCTTTTTTCGCAGTATGAATAAAATATCCGATTGCTTTCTTAATTTCTCTGTTCATGAAAAAACCTTCAAGCAATACTTCCACCAGTAACTGAGGCCTAATTAATTATAAATGATATATTAAATTTGAAGTATGCCCCATATCTCGTTATGACGTCTAACAGGTTGTATACAGAAACCCACTTTCATATGTTCTCAAAATGTATTTAATAGGTATGTACTGAATGTTCAGATCGTCGGAGTTTATATTCCGTGCTTGTCGTAACGCCTGTAAGCTCCCCCCCCCCCCCACCCTTCAAGGGGTCCGAGCTCCTCTTATTGCTACTCGGCAAAGTAAAGCACAGATGTACTATTGTTGACAACTGATTGAGCAAAATTTGCTGTCACAAAAGTCCTTCAGCAGGGGCCCATGGACTCGCCGTTACGCCACTGACGGTCTTGCCACCACTGAGCAGACAAACACTAGCGAAGGAGCAAATATATTGCTAGTCAATAATAAATGATATGAAGCTGGTTTTCCAAAACGTCATGAAAGCTTAGTTGAAAATATTCATCTGGTTTGTAGATAATCATACGATGTGATGGGGTTTAATTGTTAAAATAGAAAAATTCTCACATTCTTGAAGCTGCTTTACTGAGATTTTAATCGGTTTATGTTTGAAAGGCAATCGACTTTCATAAATTTATTTTAAAAATAAAAATCTCGAAGTTGACCTATTGATCACTATTTTAATAGACGTCCGTAGGCATATTTCAGTTTTTGCCAATGAATACGACGCACAAAATGTCGTTGAATAATGGTTTACTAAAAAGTGCACGAATATAATCATTCGGAACCTCTGCAGTAATCACTTGCTAAATAACCGTGTATGTTTTTGTGTGGTTGCTCGGATACGAATCTTACGGTTCAGGAATGCGTGCTATTGATACAACCCCGATGTGAGGATGCGAATTGAATAGAAAGATAATTCGCCGATTAACATGGAATTTGTTTAGCAGACCATTAGGTATTGTGCATTATTTTGCTGGATAATAGATTCAAAACAATAACATCGCTATTAAATATTAAGCAAGTGGTCCACATTACAGCACCAACGTTTCGACTGAATTCAAGTCGATGAACTGTTGTTTAGAAGACAATACGGGGTACATATTGACGAACGTATTGTAAATTACAATGATGTAGGCCGTGTATACATAATGCGTATGATATGAGCTCTATGTTTATTCTTTAAAAAAAAAATGGTCACCTATTGCAATTACTTTTTTCCACTCATGTTCGACTGTAGGCTTACTCTATTCGATTTTAATTGTCGACTATATTACCTCAGCGGGTAATGTTTGACCACACACAACCCACTGGCTGTGGTAGAACTTATTATTTTTATGATTTAATACTTTTCATTAAAAAAAATAAACATTTCCCCTACTTTTTAATTTTAGTGACATTTTATTAAGTTATTAATATTATTATTATTAAGTGTACCGCGCTAAAACGCTATTAACGTGAGCATTAAGAGCAAATTTTGCAAACACCCCCACTCCTTTTAGACCTATATTTTTCAAAATGATAAAAAAATGTAAAACAAGAAAAGAAAATTATATTAAAATATAAGCCTGGGAGTGCCATTTCCTGCCATCTAGAGGTGCCAAAATCATTTTTTTTTAAATTACGGTACCTCACCCCGAACCATAGTGGGCTGTTCTTGGACCCTCTATCTTTGAGGGTCCCTTCCTGGGCCCTCTGTTTCGTTCCTGGATACACCCGGATATCTATTTAGCTATTGGTAAATGGGCTACAGTGTAAAGGAAATTATATAAAATGTGTCTTTGAATGCCATTTCCGGCCATCTAGAGGTGCCAAATATTTTCTTACCTCTGCCCCAACTTGGTGGGACTGAGGCCCTTGGCTCGCTATCTATGATCCCTCCCTGGGCAATCAATTCAAGTTTAGCTAACTTCGAAGTACAGTGTACTTGACGTTAATACAGTTCTACTAGACTAGTTACGGTAGAGAAACGACTGCCAATGTCAATAACAGTCGCATAGCCTATTGTCTGTAAGTCCATAATTTATGAAATCCCATGTGCGATAATATTTTATTTATAGTTCTAAATGCTTCATAATATGTTACATTGTAGAGTTTTTACACTTCGAAAAGAGTTTTTGAAATTTGAGAGTTTCCGAGCTTCTAGAAGTGCTAAATCCTAAACAATTCTGAACCTCAGTCACCAATTCCCTGATGTGGTAATATTTGATTTATGAAAATCGAAATGCTTCATAGGATGAAACATTTTACATTGTCAAGTCATGATACTTCGAAAATCGTTTTTGAAGTTTGAGTGTGCTATTTGGTATTTCCGAGCGTATAAAAGTGCTAAATCCTGTAAAAATCGCAGCCTCAGCCCCAACCCTGTGGGTTGGTGTGAACTCTTCTGCCTGACCAATACCTATGCTTTCGCCATCACAGTTCTATGAACATTTCGAATAATGGAATTGGAATAGATTTCTATGTACTGTAATTGCTTTATTTATATCTAGTTTTAGTTCATGCATGTAACACTTCATTCAATCCATATTACCCATATATTATTAACTGATAATTCATATATTTTTTTTCGTAAAAACCCGCATATATGAACTTGTATATGTGTTTAACATTGGCTTTATACTAATACAGTAAGCCTACGGTTTTATAAAATCAATGCTTTATCTGATTGCTAGGCTTGATGATCTGTCTTTTTTTTATTTACCTCGATTTTATTTGATTTATTCTATATATCCATCAAGTACATATAAAAAAAAAATATAGGCCCGAGGAACAAAAAGCGTAGGCCTACAAGAAAAACGTTAAGAGATAACGGGAAGACCCTCCAAATCCGTGTAAAGGGACTTATTTTCAGAGCGGTCCCATGTTTCCTAGTTGTAACACCACATTGGATTGTTATTAATTTTCAATTGTATCGAATTGGTGGTTTAATTAGATTCGACACCGAATCCATACGTGATTTGTCTGTTTATTACAGGCCTATAAGATGCACTATTTGAGCAGAACGAGTGAAACTCAATGGAGAACACCAGCTCTTAGCCTCGTCAAAGTAGGTAGAATAACCATGTGGGGGTGGGGGGAGATATTTTTTACATCTCCCTGGAATAACCAAACAATGGGCATAGGGGTAAAATCCCGAAGGAGACAGATATTTTTTCTTAACCCGATTTCTACAAGCCTAGCGTTTACTCCTTCCTATTATTACTTTAATTATCTGTTCCTTGTGTACTACGGAATGTTTTGCGAATAATGTTTCCTATTGAAAGTATCAAATGGGTATCATACTTGTAGGCCTAACTATCTGGTAGTAGAACAACCAAACAATATTCGGATTGTCTTTGGTTTGAATCATAATGGAAACAATAGGTTTATACCATACTGTAATTTTTTTTTATCTCGCCAATCAGTTGCTTTCTTTGTTTTTTTTTTATTTTTTAATTTTTGTTCTTTGTATAATGGTTACTTGATTGTATTATGTGTGCCACTGTTCTGAAAGTGAGTTCTAATAAGTACTGAAATACTGAATACCATATAACATATTTATATATACCTTTTGGTAGAATGATTAATATGTTTTATCATTATATACAAATAAAAAAATTCTATATTTGCCAAAATAGCCATAAATATAAAATTAACGAACATAAATCGAAAACAGATTACAAAAAGGAACCCTCATGAAGCCAGGGCCTTGTTAAAAATATAGAGGTACACTAAGCAAACCGTATACAACTATAAACAAACACAAATCAACTATAAATGTATACCGGCAATATCTACTATGACAATAATAGGCCCCTTCATACGTATAGGTCTGATTATATATTATCGTTATGAAAATTATTGTATTGCATACAATAATAGTTATTCAACTGCAGTGTTTTATATTTTCTTTATGTATAAGAATGTATAGGTCTATGTTGTGAAACCTTCGAGCGAACCCCTTTCCAACAACACGTTTACATAAGAAAAACACTTGAACGCATAACAATGCTAGTGACTAAACCAAGTAATCTGAGAGTCCAGAGAACTCTCTGTTCTCAAAAATCCTCATTACCATAACAAAAACTGTTAGCTTACAGTTTCCCCACCAAGAAAAAGTCGTGGTTAGTTTAGAATTCGAAATCACAGCAGATGTATACAACTCTGTAGGCATACGGTACGGTACACTTGCGCAGCTCAAATATTGTACAGTTTCGCGTCTCGGTCCGCACCTCAGAAAGTGAGTTTGTTCCATATACATTCCACCTTCACTCAGTTTGTACTCTTTTTTTAAAGAAACTATCGAATACGATGTGATTGAAGATTGAATTTGTAAAGTATATCGGTACGTCTTAAGTATATGAAGTATGTTCATCAGTTTTTGTGTACTCTTCCTTAAAGAAGAAAGAAAACAGGATTTATATACCTGCCAGTGCGAGTAGGCGTTCTTAAACGGTATCATTTGTAAGTATAAATATTACTCTAGTTGATTTAGATTATCTGGTTAATTTAATTTTTATTTTCATCCACCACCAATTTTTCTTCTCATTCCATTTATTCAATAGACTCATTTAACAACATAATACATAAGTTGACATGACAAAGGTGTGATTTTAAGAACACCCTAAATGAGAAAATAAAAATATATATAGTTTAGATTTCTAATCTAAACGTAAATTTAATTATACTACAATTTTGCTCTGCAGACTTCGCTAGCCCCTTTATATTTTCTCCTGAAAAATCTTTTTTTTTTTTTTTTTAATAATCGGATACCGATAACACAATAGTCAAGTAGGCTTAAACAGACCTGTTCACCAACATATTACTCAAATCACGATATTCTTCAAAGATGTACTGTCCTTTTTGTAGACAGTCTATTAACATCGAGGTATATTTCTAATGATTTTCATTAAATAAGATAATATGTAATGTCATTTATGATTAGTTTTTACGAGGAAATAAATCATTATTTCATACGGCCGTTTACTGTGGCTTTCCATTTCATCACGAGATGGTATCCGCATTAATAGTATACTCTCGGATAAAAATCGTTATTGGAGCTTTTAACAAATATAAAAGAAATAATCTTTTAAATAAATAAGTATTATCTAACAAAAGGATAATGCAATTAAGGACTATCCACCAAGGTGACGTCCGAATAAGTAATTTAAAACCGTTTACTCATTTTTCATTTGTAATAAACATAATACATCAAGGACATTATTAATTTCTTTTACAGAGAGTCGGTAATATACATATACGATATTGGAAGATATGGAACTTGAGGCATTCAAAGGTAAAAACAATTGCATGCATTATGATGTCAACTTTAATTTGATTTATACACTTGGAGATATGTAAGATTAGTTACCACACAGACTATCACAGACGGACTTCTGAATATAATTATTACTACGTAAAGCTGAATCAAGTATATAATTAATATAGGAATAGGATGTGGCGCAGATAAGTTGTTAACCCTTTAATCGAGGTCAAGGGTCTCAGAGAGAGTCTTATGTTGACCACTTGTTGTGCACCGATTCTCCGCCCAGTAGTAAGTACCCTGGCCAGATAGTGAAGTAGTTTGAATGAACCTAAGTTGATACGTAGCCTAGATACAAGAAAACGACGAAAACCCTCTGGGGAGTGAATCTTTTGCGGATTCCACTAGACAGATAGATAGATTTTAAAACTTTCTATAGCGCCGGTTAAACGGAAGTTCACTAGCGCTTTACAATAAATTACAAAATAAAGAGCAAAAAAAGTAATAATAATAATAATAATGAAATAATAATAATGATGATAATAATAATAGTAATAATAATAATAATGATAATAATAATAATAATAATAATAATAACAATAAATATAAATAATAGTAATAGGAACAAAATAATAATAATAACAATAATAACAATAAAACAATAACAATGAAAATTTAAAGGAAGAATCGAAGAAGGCGGTAGCAATATATCTCTGACACTTCCTTCCACCAGGGAGTTGTTACAACTCCCTGCT